GGCCCAAATAAAAAAGCATGGGACGGTATTGCTGAGACATCAGTGTCAGAAGGAGAATCTTCCATGTTATGCATTGTTTTTTTTCCTGGACATCAAGAGATGGGTACAAATTCTTCCATTCCATCCTTATCATCTGTGCATGATGGGTGCAAAGAGCTTCGTGGCCATCCTTTATTTTCTGTCTGTCATAGAGTTTTTGTGGCCAGGAGATAACAAGATATACATATACTACAATACTGCATTTGGGACCAGGATATGTATTTACATCAAGCGATTGACATGATTATTTCCCACTATTTCCCAAGTGAACTAAGTAACCTAAAAGTTTTGCCCTCCATGCAGGATTTTACAAACAACCACCAAGAGCATGCTGTGGCGCTCCTGGGAGGGACCCTTACAACTTCAATCTAACAGCCAAGTGTGGTGAGCCTGGTGCCTCGGCGTGTGCTGATCCTAAGACGTACTGGAGCTGGGATGGTATTCACTTGACAGAAGCCGCATATCGGCACATTGCCAGAGGTTGGCTTCATGGACCATTCGGAGACCAGCCTATTGTACAATCGTCTTGAGTACACCCCAGCCGCTCCTCCTGTTGTACCTCTAGAGTGTACCAAAATAGCATACCATGACACCAAACTGGATCCGATAAGGTAGTAGTTCCATGTATATCTCCTCCCATTTCATCGATTCCATTGCCAGTCAGGTAAAGAGCTGAGATAGGGGCTATTAATTAAAGCATGATTTTCTTCATTCATGGTGGTGGTATAAGTACAAAGTGTAATGCACAGATCAGTTCATATGATACAGGTATCATTCCCCTGTAGTCCATGATGATGACTCCCAGTTAGAAATCACTATGGTTAGCTCCAATTTCTGTCTGAATATATATACTCTGGAGCCTTATCCGCTTTGTACACATGCATGATTCGTGGGGAATCTTCTGATCTGAGAAAATAAAATTACCTGCGACCTGTATGCGGGCTGTGTGCATGCTGGCCGTCCAGTTGAAAGTTGAAATCTGAGCATGATCTGTATGGTCTCTTTATTATATTCCCTGCTTTGCATGCCATATGTTGGAACAGCTCGAAGTGAGGTGGGGGAGACAAGAAGCTTCAATTGCAGACTACCGTGGCCCGTGGATCCCACTCTTTTGTTTGGTGATTAGTTGCACTAAAGTTTGTCTTATACGACACCGTACTGGTGATGCCCTGGCAGTTTACAATTTGCTTAACACAATGCATGCCAGTTGTGCTATATGTATATCCTGCTAGCTGCTATAGTAACGCTAAGTCTCCAAAATTTATAATTAAATTTGATTGCTATATTTTTAATAAAAAATACAAAATCCTAATAACAACACCAGTCTTTTTGTTTTCACAGATTTAGTGATAATATTCCATAAGTTTGGGTCCTGTTTGCTTGAACTTATCAGCCATACCGTTTCAGCGAAATAACAGTGTTTTTTTTTCACCACAAATCAACATCAACATCAGCATCAGTCGTTTTTCCAGCAAGCCGAACATAGCCTTGATTTGGCATTTTCTAATTTACTCCTAAGTATATACACTGTGGCCTGTGAGTTGGCCGAAGAAGACCAAAATACCCGGACAGAGTAGGTATATAGCAACTCGCTCGAAGAATGTATTACTGTTGCTGCAGAGATTATACAACATGAGATGTGACCAATGACGGAGCCAGAAAAAAATTATAGCTGGGGCAAGTTTTAACATGAAAATAAATAAAAAGACTTTTGGCCTAAATCGCACCGAATTAACATACTACAGTCATACAAATTATGATGAAACAGTCATACAAATTATGACGAAAAAGCTACAATCACACAAATTATAACGGAAAGGTGGATGAATAATACAAGATGTTACCTCAAATTTACAGAATAAATTGATAATAGTTCTTGACCAGATATCCCATACATTTTGCAAATACAAAATACTTAGTAGGTGTGAACCCGTAAATGTTATGAAAATCAATTAGCCAATAACAATAAAGTGATTGTATCCCTAGCGCCAGGTTCTTGTACCTCATCACGCCCCTCCTCGCTTCATCGCTATCTCGGCAGCTCATGCTCCTCGGCGGGCTGCTCCTGGCGGTGGGCGGCACCTGGCGCCGGCCAGCGGACAGGCAGTGCCGCAGTGGGTCGGCCAGCCGGAGGCTTGCCGCAGGCGCTGGCTCCTAGCGGTAGCTGACGAGTGGGGATGCGGCGACCAGCGAGTGGGGTAGCAGCAGGAGGCAATCGGCGGCTGGCTAGTGGCGGCGGGCAGCGGCCACCGGCACGCGTCACGTAGATGTGGATGACGGACAGGCGACGGAGTAGCGGATGGCTGTTGGGGGATTGGGGATTTGGGGAACCAAATTGGACCCTTGCTGGGCTAATCTGAAGTGACCAAAATGAGCCCAGTGCCCAACAAGAGGAACCGGTCATCTTCTTCTATCGGATATCGCCGCTCGCAGCTCGCTCGTTGTTCATCGCCATGTCGCGGCCTCTGCTCGGCACCTCGGGCAATCGGCAATCAGACCTAAGGAAGAAGAGGTGTCTGGGGATCTGGGACGCCGCCGCCAATAGGTGGGGCGGCCGCCCCACCACGCCCCTAGGGTAGCTCCGTCGTTGGATGTGACAGTATTAATATTTGTACACCTATAAATATATCTGTATCGCTATTTGAGAAGATATCAGTGGTAGACTGGCAGTGCATGCCAGCTGTAACTGGACATCAAGAGCGACTGAATATGGAATTCCAAGGTTCCCTTTGTGCAAAGGCAAGTACATGATGCTGCGGTTTCTTTTCTGCTTTGCGCTGACATTCAGGGTAAAAAGAAGAAGAAAGATGCTTCCTCTCTATCCTAAAATAAATCAACTTATAAAGTCATCTTAAATCAAATATTTTATATTTAACAGAATTTATAAAAAAAAAGTACCAATATTTATAACACCGAATTTGTATTATAGATGCATCATGCAATACATTTTTATAGAATACTTGTTTGATGCCATACGTGTTAGGGTCCTTTTCTATAAAGTTGATCAAATTCGAAATATTTTGATTTAGAATGACTCTAAAAGTTGATTTATTTAGAATGAAGAGAGTATTTGTATTCTTTAAAGCATCATCCCAGATGCTTTCTAATGGCTCTAGAAAAAGTTAGACATTGGATCCTATTTTTTTTTTAAACACTTAGGCAACAAGATTCTACGCCATCCATTCTTTTCAAAGTTGCTACAAATATTTTAATCAAGACGGCAAAAAATAAGGCTAAATTAAAGGAGTTATTCCTCACCTTGTGGATGGTAGATCGTCGATTTTGCAATATACAAATGATAGAATCATATGACCATGATTTGGAGCAAGATAAAAATATGAAATTTATCGCTCAATGTTTTTGAAAGATTGATTTCCAGAAGAGTGATTTTTTTGTTGTTGTGGTGATGCTAAGCATTGCGAGCATTATAATATGTATACTCAAATCTTTGCCTATTAAATTGGGTTATTATGTCAAATCTTGCATTTAGCACTATGCACCATCGGAAACTCCACAATGCAGATGGCGTGTAATCGAGGAACGATTCAAAAGTAAACAAAGTAATTGGAAGGCGAAAGATATGTCACACGGGGTCGGCTGGTGCAACTAAATTAAATCCTTATAAGGCCTACCCATATTTGTGATGTCAATTTTTTGAAATCACGAAACAAAGGTCTCCACTGCGCGCTCCCGCTCGCTTCCTCTCCATCGCACCTTCTCTCTACCGTGCCTCCCGTCTGTCTTCTCCACCAGAGCGGCGAGCTCTGCGCCACCGAGACGTTGCTACTGGACGGCGTGACGCGTGGCTGCCCTCTCCCAGTCGCGCAGCCGCTGCCTCTCCGCAAAGCCTCCATTCTCTCAAGCAGGAAGGAGATGTTGTGCTGAAATCACATGTTGCAAATGTATATTTCAAGTGTTTAAGATGTTTTAGAAGTGTGTTGCAAGTGTTTTATATGAATATTACAAAAGCGGACCGGTGATGTTGCATATTTTGCAATAGTTATACACGTATGTTCCAAGTGTCTGTTCTCAATGTTTCATCTATGTTTTTCAGACATATGTCGATGTTGCGTTTGTTTGCAATGGTTTTCGAGCGTTTTTCAGGTGTTTGTTTCAAGTGTTTCAGAAGTATGTTTCAAGTGTTTCATCTGGCTTCATATGCATGTTGCAACCGTTGCATCTAAATGTTTCAAAAGTAGATCAACTGTTGCACGTGTTGCAATATTACCCGCCTGTTGCGGTTTCTAGAGGCGGCGCGAGGGATCGGGTGGGGCGCAGATGCTGTGAGGGGTTGGGTTGGGCGAAGACACCTTGTCGGGCTAGTGCAAGGGCGAAGCGCAGGCGCGTCTGGAGGTGCGGGTCGGTCTAAATGTCCGGACCTGTGTAAAAAGATTAATTGAATGCTAAGGAGAATTGTTCAGGACGTGGGAACTTCAAAGTAAAGGATGGCTTCGTAATCAGATTCAGAACATCTGGATCGGATCTAATTTTTGAACTCACATCGCCAGCGACCACACGTCATGCTCCTCTTCCCTGGCAATGGCTCGTCGGCGCCTACTTGGGCAATGCCCCTTCCTCCTCTTTCGCCGAGTGTCGCACTGTGCTGCCTCCTCTCGGCACCGGCGGTCGCCGCCAGGTGCCGCACCCTGCCCTCCCCTCCATCGTGGGTGGACGCGCCATGCCTGATGCCCCCACGCCAGCAACGGCTCCCTCCCTCCCCACTGCGTGTACGGTCGGAGGCCACGAAAAAGAATGTGGAAAGCGGTGATCGAAGCAAGTTACGGGAGCAAAGAAAGAGAAGGGCGAGGGAGACGAGGGTTGGCTTTGGCTCCTGCCGAGCGTGGATCGAGCTGAGGTCTCGCCAGATTGCTAGACGCGTCGACTTCTTTTCTCCCTTCCACGTAGGATGCAAGCTGATGTGGGGCAGAGAGCTAATATGGGCTTTTGGGGTGTGGCGTTGCTTATCGATTCGCTCCTGCCTCCCGGGCAAACCCCCTGTAGGGGCTGTAGTCGAAGCTGCAGCCGTGCGAGTCCGCGTGGCGGTGCGCCGAGCAGAACGTGCCGCCGCACCGGCACGCGAACCCAAGCAGGCCCACCTTCTTCGGGCACGCGGCGCACCTGTTGGCCTTGGGCCTCGGCACTGCATTCTGGTTCTCCGCCGGTGGCGTACCAGTAGCAGCCGCGGCGAAAGCGAAAGGGCAAGTGGCATGTCGACCGGTGCTACTCCTGCCCGCGCCGAGGCCGCCTGTCCTGTAGTAGTATTCCAGCGTGCACCTGGCGCAGAGGTCCCTCGTCTCCGCGGTCCCAAACATCAGGATCCAGCCGCGGCCCAGCGCCGCCCGCGGCAGGGGCGCCGAGCAGCCTCCGCATTGGGCCGCCGCCGCGGCTTCTCCTCCTCCACCGGCTGGCGCCGTCGTCGCGGAGGATGGATACATAGCGCTGGTCTGGTCTGATCGAGCTCGTGCAAGTGCAATCGCTTCTTGCTTGGGAAATCGGAGACGTGCGTGAGAGGAGGATGTGGATTGATGTATAGCAGCGTCCGCGCGCGGCTACGCGATCGGGAACGCAGACACCGAACATCAAGCGGGATCAGGATCGGAGTCGTCGCCGAGTCGGAATCGACCCCGTCCGTACCGCCAAGGAACCCATTGCAGTTCTGCTGTCCGACTCCGAGCGTGCTTTCCGCATGACGAGAAAAACCAGTGCTTCCATACTGTTTCATTCATCTTTTATAACTTCTCAGTTTTGTAGTTTCAGCTAAAAAAATGGAGACGCCAATAAGCACAAGTTTTGTTTTTCCAATTGCTCGGTAGGCGTTTTAACCGGATGTCATCCATGGCGAATTTAAATAAAGTCTGTAAATTTACGGTAAGATACGGTTAAGACCCAAGACAAACCCATGTCCGACACGGTAAAGCTCTGAACCGGGCGCCGGACGCTCCGTTGCTGGGCGCGATGCTAATCCACGCTCCTTCTTAAAAAAAAACGCATCCACTCATTTCTATTCACTTGTTCCTCTTTCTATCGCTCTTTATCCGCTCGCCTGCTGCCTTCGAGCGCACGGCCACTGCCCAAGCTGCGTGCGGCCGCCTCCAAGGCGCAGCGCTCGGACGCTGGCCTTGCCAGGCACGGCGCGCGGTCGGCTCGGAGTCGGGCACTCGGCTACCGGCCCTGCCAGGCATGGCCCCTCTCCAACCGATGCCTCCTTTCCGCAATATGCAGCCCACAGCCGCCGGGCCCCCGCCAACAAGCGTTGCCGGGCCACTGCCTCCGGTGAACACCACACATCGACGAGCCTCCATTCTGCAGAGCAGCCAGAAGATGTTGTGTTGAAAGCACATGTTGTAAGAGGATGTTTCAATTGTTTCAAAAGTATGTTGCAAGTGTTTCATATGGATATTACAAAAATAGATCTGGATGTTGCACATGTTGTAAATGGTTGTACACGTATGTTGCAAGCGTTCTTTCCAAATGTTTTATCTATTTTTTTAGACGTATGTTGCAAGTGTGCTTATTTGAATGTTGCATATGTTTCACACATATGTTGCAAGCTTTATCTAGATGTTTTATATGTTTTGCAATGGATAAATAATATTCAAATAGCTCAATAAAGAGTTCGAAGAGATAGATATGATCTTTAGGGGAAAAAATTAGTACTGGCTCCACTTTTTTGATTTAAATTAAATTATTTATGAATTTTTAGATATTAAACTATTTTTTATTATTATCAAAAAATAGAAAACCACTTTTGAATCGCCGGAGGATCAAATTTGCTTGGTTCTAATAGGAGACTTTTCCCCGTGTGCCATTATAAAAGATCCTAATCCCCTCTGTGCCCCTGGAAAAATTCAGCGGTCTTCAGCGCCACTACTTTAACTTTTTCGGGTCCTCCATGCCACTTCCGTCAGTTCAGGCTCTAACGCCGTCAAACTACGGGTGTGAAAAGACGAAAATGTCCTTAAGTTCAAATATGTTATTAATTTTTTTTGAGCATCTTAACGACTTCAAATGAAAAAACTCAAAACTAGAAAGTTGTAGATCTCGTTGAGATCTATAATTTTCATATAAAAATTATTTTCATTTAATTTCGCAAAAAAAATATGATGATTTTTCTAAGATATATTAATCATATCAAATCATATTTTTTTTGCGGAATTAAATGAAAATAATTTTTATATGAAAATTATAGATCTCGACGAGATCTACAACTTTCTAGTTTTGAGTTTTTTCATTTGAAGTCGTTAAGATGCTCAAAAAAAATTAATAACATATTTGAACTTAAGGGCATTTTCGTCTTTTCACACCTGCACTTTAACGGCGTTAGAGCCTGAACTGACGGAAGTGGCATGGAGGACCCGAAAAAGTTGAAGTAGTGGCGCTGAAGACCGCTGAATTTTTCCAGGGGCACACAGGGGATTGCGATCTTTTATAATGGCACACGGGGGAAAGTCTCTTCTAATAGTTGTAGGCCGTCTGGTACCGGTTCCATAGCTTAGTGTTGAAAATCAAATTACGCTGCAAATTGAAGGATGAAAATGGATTTTGCCCTATGCATATTGCTAGATGTTAGTGATTTTTTTTAAAGGTCCAGTTGCCCGGCTTAATGGCACCGTTCGGATGGTATGGTTCTGGAGGAATTTGGATGGTTTAAAGTAATTCTAGAGGAATCTGTGAGAGAAAAATACTGTTCCGGATGAAAAAAGAAGCCCACGCCAACGGGGCCATATTAATAAGGGAGATAGACAGCGAATCAGTAATCACTCGCTAAATGATTTGCTACCATAAGGGGCCTAAGGATCCCTCCTGCCCCCCGCTAAACACCAATCTGAGCAGGTGTCCTTGATCTCTGCAAAGACTGTCTGGGTTGTGCGCCTAGAGTCTCTTAAGCCTCGCATTTCTCTGTCTCAGATACGCCAAAGCGTCAAAATTGCTAGGGTGTGCGCCTTCTTGGAGCCCGCTTGTGTCAGTCAGAAAACATTCTTGAAGATCCGACACATCGGTCCATTGGGATGGGTGCAGGTTGGGACAGTGGCTCATGTTGCGACCCCTCCCCAAATGGCACGGGAGAAGGGGCATTCGGTAAAAAGGTATTTAGCAGTCTCTAAGTTGCTCATACGCAATGTGCAAAAATAATTGTTTTCCCATCCTCTTAGCTGTAGTCGGGCTAGTGTCCATAATCTGTTCTGGAGAAGTACCCAGAGGAAGAATTTTCATCTTTGTGGAGCCCATGCTGCCTAGATCAACTTAGGAAATTTGGAGAGGGTCTGCCCAGATCCCTCACTAGAAGCGAATGTGGAAAAGATCTCACTTTTTGTTGGGACAGTGGCCTGGTTCATGAAGTAGATTTCATTTGAGCCCAAACGAAAAGATCAAATAGGCTCTTAGTGAATAACTTTTGTGACACAAAACAGGTGTTAATTATCAAAATCGGATTCAAATGTACTTTTCCTTATGATTTTGATTATATTGGGTACATATAAATGACATATTAGTGAAATAATTGTTGGCTAAAGCTTTATTCTAAAGAAAGGAAACATTTCTTGTATTTTAGGACGGAATAGTAATACTCTACATGATCAGTTCAATAGCTTGCCAAAAAAGGGGGAGTTCGCTCAATAGTATAGTACTGTATGTTGTCTTATCTTCTCTCGTTTCTAAACTTTTACTCTAACCCTTTTAGGACTCTGGTTTCCTTAATGTAGTTTTTCTGCAAAAAATATATGAACTTATTATTTATTATAAAATAAGCCACCATGTAAAATTCTTAGAATCTAGAATTTATTAGACTAATCAAAAATAAAATAAAGGTACACCTCCCTTCATCCCTGAGTAAATCGATTCCTAGAATTGTATTAAGTCAAACGGTTTTATATTTAACCAAATTTGTTGAAAAGAACACAAATAATTATAACACCAAATGAGTATATTATAAAAATATATTTTACGGTGTACATGTATCTAATTATACTAATTTGGTTTCATAAATCTTGATGCTTTATTAGTGAATTTATTCAAACTAAGAAAAGTTTGACTTAAGCAAACTCTAAAAATCGATTTAATCAGGAGGAACAGAGGGAGCAAACACTAAAAAAAACCCAATGGTACCATTACAAAAAAAATCCACAAATTACCTATATTTATCTATTACCAAAACATGCCAGTTTTACAAAGAATACCTTATTTATGTTGGCTATAAGTGATTGAATCTTTGTCTTAGAATAAAATCAGGTTCAAAGTGCAATTCAGAATTGTCTTTTGATATATTAAATATAATAGAAAAAACATACACCGTTAAATTATGAGAGTTTAAAAATAAGAATCTATTGTCTATCTCTATCTTCTGTCTATAACTAAAAAGAACCAAATGTTATCGTCAGATTAGCCTAATCGCCCCGCTCCTAAACTAATCCCGCCCCTCTACTAATCGCCCCGCCCCGCTCCTAATCGCCCCCCTTCCTTCCTTCACGCGCGGCGCCCAAGGAACCGTCGCACGTCCACGATCCTTCCCCATCTTCTCCACACGTCGCTCGCACAGCCGCACCACACGCCCTGTCCCCCTCCCCGCCCCTCCCACGCCGACTTCGCTGCTCTGCCCCATCGCGCCACGGCCCCGTTCTGCCACGGCAGCGTGACGGCACGGGTGCGGCTCCTCGCCACGGCAGCGCCGCTCAGCCCCAAAGTCTGTGCCTTGCCGCGCGGCCACGCCGTACCCATGGAACCAGCACACACCGACGAGCGCCGCCTGCCGGTGGCCGCGACCTGCCCGACGTCGAGCTCCCCTAATCTGCTGAGGACCATCGCCTCGATCTCCCTCGCCGCTCGGACGTGCTCCCACCTCTCCGTCAAACAGCATCGCCTGGATAACTTCCTCACTGAGAAGCCCCTTAACCAACTGCGGCTAGGTGCGGCTGTGGTTGTGGACTGCCCTCGTCAAGGTGAGGTAATCTGCGATCCTGTCGAAACAATAAATTAGGATGCTCGTCATGTCTACAGTGTTAGCGTTAGATTTTCTACTAGGGAAGAAATCAGTATTACTGTTTGTTCTGAATTGCTTCAATGTTGAAAGAAACTCATACAAAGAGAACCACAAACCAGGGCTTAGAGTTGACACACGAGCGAGAAGGACCCAGAAACTGTTTCAGAAGCATTGGACTGATGCAGGTTTAGTTCATCCAAATAGTTCTGTAGGTCCAAGTCTAAGGCTATGATAATTGGCACTCAAAGTATTATCTGATTGTTACAAAAGATCCACCTTTCTAAATTCTACGGGACCTGCAGTTTAATTATATAATTTTTTGTGTGCATCAAACAATCTTAGTCTAAATAGTATTTCTGAATTCGATTTGAATGAGTTCTGATCTGAAATTAGGGTATGTAGGCATAATGGCATATGATTCATGAATCCTTAAGCAAGGCAACAATTACCAATTTTTTGATGTAGGTGATTAATTTCAACAGTTTTTATGGTCTCACTCCGCCATTCCAATTTCCAATACGAGTGATGAATTATTTATGTTGTTACTTCTTTATAAACCTTTGCAGATATTAGGGGGTGTTTGGTTCAGCTAGGAGCTCCTAAATCTAATCCCATCTAGTCACTTTTTACCCAAACACTATGACTAAGGGCCTGTTCGCTGGGAGGAATTTGGAGTAATCTGGATGAATCTGGAGGAATTTGTGAGAGACTGAATAGTGTTTTTAACCGTGCACAGTGTTTTCCAGCTGATTTTCATGTCAGCCGAACGGCCCCTAAATGGAATTAAAAGGGCTTTAGTCCTCTCTAGCAACTCTGGAGTGACTAAATGGGACTAAACCATTTAGGAATGACTAAATTTAGCAGCTGCAATCCAAACAGGGCCTTAGTCAGCTCAACCAACCAAGGGCCACATCAATTTCTTTTCATAATGAAAAGGATGATATATGCTGAGTTTTAGATAATCATCTAAAACTGGTGAACTTTGGATGCATTCAGGTATGCCATCCCAGTAGTATGTACCAATATGTGTACTTCTACCTCTCACCACCAGATTAAGCAACACATCAGAGGTTCTCGTGGCTGCTATTGCCGCCAATGAGTTATTAGGCTATAAATTTTGCACGACAAACTGTGGATTCTTGACAATATTTTAGCTAATTAAATATTATGAAGTGCTGGAGGCCATTTATTTAAGCTAATTAATGTAGCACCTTTCAGGGTGAGAGTTTCTATAATCCTTATATTCCTCAAGTGAAGTGCTGGAGGAATTGAACAACAAAGGCTTGATCAAGTAGAATGAGGGTGCCGGAGTTATATTTATTCAAGGTCATCAAATCCCTTTGACAGTGGTTAAGATTGATAGCGGCTTCAACTATGCCTCAACAGACCTAGTGATAGGATTGCGGATCCTACCAGCTATGGTTCGGAGGTTGTAGGGATGGTGGATCGGAGGACGGGAACGGAAACGGCGCTGGGGCGCCGTGTTCTCGATCTAGGGGAAGGAGGAGGAGGCTAGGGTTGTTATGAAGTCTCTCGGCTCCCTAAGGGAAGCCGAGCACATTGATTCCTCTTGCTTAATTGTTTCAATTCCTTACAATAGCTATATATAGCAAATAATGAAAATACTAATGGGCCTTGCACCTAACTAGCCACTAATGGGCTTCTGTCTTCGTGCATATGACCGACCGGTCATAACATCTCTCCCCGCCTACTGAAACAGCTCGTCCTCGAGCTGGAAGTCTGGAAACTGCGCACGGAATTCCTGGAGAGGCTCCCAAGTTGCATCGTCTGTGGGCAAACCATGCCACTCAATGAGGACGCGCCAGATGCCCCGGCGCTGTTCCGCCCGGAGGGCACGTGCCGGCTCTGGGAGCAGACGCCCATCGAGGACTGGAGGGAGTGCCGCTGATGTCGTTGGAGTATCGCCGCGGTGACGCTTGAGCAACCCCACATGAAAGACGTCGTGGATACGGGCGCCCTCTGGAAGCTGTAGACGATAGGCGACACGGCCGATGCGCTCCTGCACCTGGAACGGCCCTGCATAGTGTGGTCCCAACTTGTGCTTCGCCCGTGGATCAAGAGACTGAGCAGTCCTGTGCAACAGACGCAGCCACACCCAGTCGCCCACCGCGAACTCCACGTCACGGTGGCCGGCGTCGTAGTATTTCTTGGACAGCTGCTGGGCTTGAAGTAGACGCTGACGAACCTCGGCGAGAATCTCATCACGGCTGCGTAGAAGAGTGTCAGCCGCAACCGTCCGAGCCGTCCCAGGCTTGTAAGGCAGGATCGGCGGCGGGAGACGGCCGTAGACGACCTGGAACGGGGTGGCACGTAGGGCGGTATGGAACGCAGTGTTGTAACAGTATTCCGCCCAAGCGAGCCAATCGACCCACGCCCGAGGCCGATCCCCTGTGACGCATCGCAGGTACATGGCGATGACCTTGTTCACCACCTCGGACTGGCCATCAGTCTGAGGGTGAAAAGCCGTACTCATGCGCAGCTTGACGCCCGCCATCCGGAACAAGTCGCGCCACACGTTTCCGGTAAACACGGGGTCCCGGTCACTGACGATGGATGCCTGAAACCCGTGCAACCGAACGATGTTGTCGAAGAAAGCTCGTGCGACGGAGGCAGCGGTGTAGGGGTGGCCGAGCGCTATAAAATGCGCGTACTTGGAGAAGCGGTCGACCACCGTGAGAATGACCGACTTGCCGCCCACCTTTGGGAGGCCCTCGATGAAATCCATGGAGATATCCGCCCACACCTGGGACGGCACCTCCAGCGGCTGCAGCAGACCCGCCGGCTGCAATGTCTCCGTCTTGTTGCGCTGGCACGTCGTACAATTGCGCACCCAGTCTTGGACAAGCGCGCGGTCTCCTGGAATGTAGAAGTCGGCGCGTAGACGATGGAGGGTCTTCTGGACACCCTCGTGGCCCGTCGAGTGAGCCAGGGAGAGCGCCTGGTGACGCAGGTCGTCGTGGTCGGGGACGTACAGCCGGCTGCCATGGAGCAGCAGGCCCTCCTCCATGCGCCAGGGACCTGGCAGGTCGCCGGCCTCCAGATGCGTGCGAAGCTGCTGCGCGTCCGCTGCTGTAATGGTGGCGCGGCGGATGTCGTCGACGAAGGCAAACGAGGGTCCCGAGCGAGCACAAAAGGCTGCGTCGGCGACGGTGTTGAGGCGACCCGGCCTGTATTCGACGGTGAAGTCGAAGCCGAACAACTTGCTGATCCACTGGTGCTGGAGAACGGTGGAGAGACGCTGATCTAATAGATACTTCAAACTGTAATGGTCAGTGCGAATCAGAAAATGACGCCCCCATAAATATGGACGCCAGTGTCGCACCGCCTGCACAAGACCGATTGTAACGTCCAGTCCCGACATAACCCACTCTTCCTAGGAGTGGTCCGACCCGCGTAGCAACCCATTTGAACTTTCGTCCTCGCTTCGTTCAAAACGGTTAACCGAAGGTTACTACGCGTCCCTGGCCCTGGTATTTAAGTCGATCCGGCCCATGTTCGGATGCTACAGTAACCTGGAGTTCGGATGCTACAGTGACGGCCCATGTTCTGCTATAGTGTCGCCGGCCCATACTGGATTAATTTTGGGCCCACTTTGGCCCATTAGGATGTTACACCGATTAGCTCCCGCTCATAGGCCGCCAGCTTGAGATGTCGTGCAGCGAACGGCCGGCTGAAGAAAGCGAGGGGGCCGGCGGCCTGGTGCAGGACGGCGCCAAAACCCGCGCCTGATGCGTCGCAGTCCACTATGAAAAATTTGTCGAAATCGGGCATCTGGAGGACGAGCCCCGTGGTGAGGGCGTGCTTGAGCGCTCGGAAGGCCGCGTCGGCCTCGGCGTCCCAGGTGAACGCGTCTCGCCGCAAGAGACGCGTAAGGGGCGCGGCGATGAGGCCAAATTCCCGAATGAATTTTCGGTAATAGCCCGCCAGGCCCAGAAAACCCCGAAGACCCCTGACGGAGCGCGGCGCCGGCCAGGATGCGACGGCCGCCACCTTGTCGGCGTCCATAGCGACGCCGTCCTTGGAAATCACGTGGCCCAAGTAAGCCACAGACGTCGCCCCGAACGAGCACTTGGAGTGCTTAAGGTGGAGATGATGCGCCCGAAGCTCGCTGAGGACGATGGCGATGTGCTGAAGGTGTTCCGCCCAGGACGAACTGTAGATCAGAATATCGTCAAAAAAGACCAGCACAAACCGTCGCAGATACGGGCGAAGGACGTCGTTCATCAGCGCCTGGAACGTGGCCGGTGCGTTGGAGAGGCCGAACGGCATCACCAGGAACTCGTAGTGGCCGTGGTGGGTGCGGAACGCCGTCTTGGCGATGTCGTCGGCGTGCATCCGCACCTGGTGGTAGCCCGAGCGCAGATCGAGCTTGGTGAAGAAGCGAGCCCCGTGTAGCTCGTCCAGCAACTCATCCACCACCGGGATGGGGAACTTGTCCTTCGAGGTCTTGGCGTTGAGGGCGCGGTAGTCGATGCAGAAGCGCCAGGACTTGTCCGCCTTGCGGACGAGGAGCACTGGGGCCGAAAACGGCGAAGTGCTCGGACGGATGATGCCTTGGGCGAGCATGGCCTCGCACTGACGTTCCAACTCGTCCTTCTGGAGCTGGGGGTAGCGGTACGGTCGGACGGCCACCGGCGCCGTGTCGGGTAGCAGGTGAATGCGGTGGTCGTACGGCCGTGCCGGTGGAAGACCGCGTGGCTCGTCGAAGATGGCGCTGTGCTGCTGTAGGAGGCGGTCCAACAGCGGCTGTTGATTGTCATTGGAGACAGCCGCTGCCTGGACAGTCCCATCAGTCCCGCCC